ATAATCAAACTCTTCCTCCTCTATTGCTTCTTCAATATCTTCATTGTCAAATACAGGTAGACTTTCATAATCAAACTCTTCCTCCTCAGATAGATAACGTTGGTGGTAGGGATTTTCAAAAATAGCGGAATAAGAATCGAGATCGGAGACCTCACGATTCTCTAAATCCCGTACCGCTAGGCACTGGATTAACTCTGCAACTTGCCTCTGAATATTACGATCATGGTGTTGGACTTCCTCAATCGGAACCTGCCCACGACGACCACGACCTCCAGGCGTATGTTGCTGCGGCAAAAGTGCAGCAACTTACTGTGTTAGCAACTCCACTTGTTGACACAGCTGTGTAATTTTATCACATCTATGTACCTTCTCTATTAGGGCTTCACAAACTTCTGACGACATAGTGAAGGAACGACTTCAACTTTGATACCAACTGATGCAGTAGAAGATTATAGGAAAGACAAAAATCCACACAAAAAAAATTTCAACGAAGAGAAATTCAAGAAAATTTTATTTCATTCAAAATTAGGTTATCTCAAAGGACTTACAATGTTTAAATAGCGAAAAATCTAAGAAAATTCGGAAAAATTATATAATAATAAGAAAATATTATTTTTTTCAAAAATGGAAAAAATTGAGATAATGACGGATCTTGATTCTCCTAATCACTAGGATCATCCCCCAACAAATGAAAATCAAATTCGAATTTATTTGACTAAGATATTGTCAAAACATAAACAGCAAAACGCTTAATTGAAGGCCTAAACGACGGAATCTGCCCAAAATCCGATATGCTTCAGGGCCTTTGGCCCTGAATTGTGATCATTAGCCCGTTTTTAATCTAATTAGACTAGTGATTCACCAAAAACGGACAAACCCAAAATTAAATGGAATTATTATTTTGCCTTCATCATTTTCTTAGTACGTAAAAATGTGTATCCAAGATTGTTATGAAGTTTGAAAATGACGTTCTTGAATTTGTTTTATCTATATTCTTGAAGGCACTTGCTTGGAGAAGATCTTGGGCCACTAAATGTGAAGGAGTTGGAGAATCTTGAAAAACAACTCGAAGGAGCTCTTAATCAAGCTAGGCAGAGGAAGGTATGATGCAATGAATTTATAACATCTATGATTTCTATATGGAAGAATTAATCATATGGTGCAGAATTGAAGAAATTTCTCTTTTACTTTTTACATCTAAGGTTGAACTATAAACTGTTACAAGTATATTACTGGACAAAGGAAAGGAATACCATTTGAGCTGAAATTTTTAAAAGAAAATGATGGGAAAATAAAATACTAAGCAGACCTCTTTGGTATTCATATTCTTTTTTCAGGTCTTCATAAAATAGAAATCTGACTTCATAACTTATACATTGTTTAATGATAAGCATGAAGTTTCAAATTAAATAGAAGAAATTGTTAATATTTGGGATTTCATCTTAAAAAATCAATCTTTTTAATAAGAGTAGCTAAAACTCTTATAAATTGGTCTATGTTTTCATAAATTGGTCTATGTTTTCATATTTATTTGATGTGGGATTGTATGTCTTAACATACCCCACAAGATAATAGCTCGTTTAAGTATATCAATCTTGAAATCCATGTGCTCAATTTTATTTTATTTTTGAGTCTTAATTGGATTGAATTGCTCGTTGGAGCTTAATGTTCTCTGATACCATAATAAGATTTGGAGTTCCATCTAAAAAAGGTCAACCTTATTAAGAGAGTAGTCCGAACTCTTATAAATTAGTCTATGTTTTTATATTTATTCGATGTGGGTTGTATCCCTTAACAGAAATAGTCCAAAAAGAAAAGAAAATTATGCAAAAGTGGTGTTTTATAATATAACAAATTTATGCAATAAGTACATATGGTTATGTTTGAATCTCCTTTTTTGTATGAAATTTCTTATAAATAAGCTTCATCAGATTATCTTACCTAGGTAGCAAAAGAAAAGGGGAAAAAAGGACTAGCCTTCGGTTATTTGTTGTATATTAGAGAAAATTTTCTTAATTTTTTCAATCCAATAAAAAATTCAATGTTATTATATTAAAGGAGTTTTTTCCCCTTCTGGTTGTATCTCAAATTTGGGAGTTATAATTTTTTGGACAGTTATTAATATGATTTCTGGATTTTGTTGTCATATATAACATAATTTTGATTTATATTATATTAGTTCATTATGCATTAGGGAGTGGTGTATTGATTAATATTTATCTAAAGATTTCATTATCTAAAGAAAATTGTGTCAAACCTTTGATATAACAAAAATGAATCTGGCTTGTACTTGAATGAAGTCAAAATTAAATAAAAATAAAGAGGCTCCCTCCATTCTCTCACCTCCTTATGTAATAGTAGTATAAGTTTTTAGATGATTTAACTAACGTTTCTTGTAGAGACACGAGAAAAGAAACATGAAGTTTAATATCAAGAATGGAACTTATTGCTTTTGTGAAATATCTTAATTTTTGGATTCAGAACATGTTACCACATAATCCTCGAGTATCAAAACTCTTTCTTTTCAATAATTTAGCGACAAGTTATGAAGTAAGAGACACGGAGTTTTTTTGTTGTATTATGTTTGTGTGCATAAGTTAAGTGCCATGATTTTATGTTTCTCTTTTTACTTCTTCCTCCCTACCTGTTTTGTGATAGTTCATTTCGAGCTCCTGAAGTTTTATGCTGACTTTCTATACTATTTTCGCCATAAAAATGCAGACAAAGCTAATGATGGAGCAAATGGAAGATCTCCGCAGGAAGGTATTGCTTTCTTCAAGTTAATTTATAATATAAAGTACATATATATCTCCACAAAGACATATATTTGAGGTCTGGCATATAAAAATTCCCATTTTCTAATGGCAGGAGCGGCAACTGGGAGATATGAACAAGCAGTTGAAGATGAGGGTTTCCCTAGAATTGTCATCGGTATTCATAAATAATGAAGCATTTATCAGTAATATAATTTATCTTCTGTGGATAAATAAGCAAAATTGCATTTGTTCTTCTTTTGCAGCATGAGACAGAAGGACAAGGTCTGAGAGGCTTTCCATGCCAATGGAATGCAGCTGCATCAGCTGGCAATAGCACCTTTATGGTCCAGCCTGGTTCAAATCCAATGGAATTTCCAGAACCTGTACTGCAGATGGGGTATAAGCCCTCCCTTCCTCTCCCTTTATATTCAGGAATTTCAATAAGAAAATTCTGATGAATTAGTGTGTATTCTTACAGGTATCATCCCTATAATCTTGGAGAAGGGCCTTCTGTTTCTAGAACCATGGCAGTTGACAGCTTTGATCTGTTTTAAGCCATTTTTTCTGATTTCAAACGCCTTGTCTTTTATGATTTGAAGAGCCGTGACTTAATATTTATGCATGAACTGCAAATATGTACGTGCTTTCGCAGTTAGGCTTATGTCTTGAATGACACCATATTTTGCTATCGCCCCCAGGTCTTGTCTTTAATGACATACATCCCATTATTCCACTGTCAATACCTCATCAACATCAAAATCTACCTTCAAGAGCATCTTTGGTGGTGGTGTAAAATTGAGTATAAATTGTTATCTTTAAAATCACTTTTGCATCCCCATTTATATCTCAATGGATCTAAATTCAGATTTTTCTCGAGTGAAAATACCAATTATTGCCTACTGTGGATGTAAAACAAGAGGTAAATTTGCATCTTTTTTTTACATTTTCTATCGGAAAATTCAATTTTTCACTTAATTTGCATCTCCTTTGAAGAGGTTTTTGGTCACAATTTAGATCTGCTTTACATCATGATTGGAGATGTTCTAATCACTCTTTGAATGTTGAAAATGTGAATATTCACCTTACAATGTTTAAGATTATGCATGATTTAAGCATACATGAAGACGTTAGACATATTCCTATTTGGATTCACTCCCAAGTAAAAGAATTATATCTCAATTACCTTGCAATTAGAGGATGGATAGATTTTGGTTGGTTTGGTATTGCTTTGCTTTTTATGTGGATCAACTTTTTGGTGTCATCAGATCAGAGGAAGATCCACTGAGTGTTTGATAAAAATTTTGTTTCAAAATCGTTGTATGCTTCAAATTTAGCATTTGGTAAACAAAAATAATTTGATGATGTGCTCCTATACAATTAATAAACTAGACATTGATTATAATGATAACATTTTGCATTATTATTATTATTATTATTATTATTATTGATAGTATGGCGAAATTTATTTTTATTTTAATTTTTATATTTATCACAATATGAAATATTATTAAATATATCTTGAAGACGATTTATTCACTCTAGTTAAATGAAAAAAAAATAATTAATATTTTAAGCCCTTGTTTGGGCCCATTTTAGGGATGAAATGTGTTTTTGAATAGTTATTTTTCGAAAAATGTGTATAAAATTTTTTTTTCACACTCCGCACAGTGCGGCGCTGTGCGGAGTTTTTTTTATTATTATTATTTTTTTTTTTTCACACGGTGCAGAGTGTAAAATTATTTTATGAGAAAATATGTGGTTGAAAATGAGTTTTTAAAAAAATTGAGAATCAGAAATTGAACTTGATAATTAATCCCAAATGGGACCAAAATACCTCGTTAACTGTCTAATAAGATTTATCTTATTTTTCCAAGCATGACTTTTTATCCACAAACGTATATCCAATCCAGCTTTATGATCATGCCAAGAAGTAAATCTACGTTTGCTGGTCATACTAGAAAAAAAAAAATGAAAATCAGGTTTAAGAAGATAGCTGGATTGTCTAGATACAGTTCCATGTTGAGTGCAAGAAGGGAATAAACTGCAGAAATTCAAACTTCTAATGCAGAAATTAGCACCCTTATTCATTATATTTCTGCATTTATTTGAGCGACAGAAATTTTTTTTTTTCAAGGGATGAGAGGAGAGACCTTTTCTCATCATTATTATTGCAATCATTTGAGTTTGAGGCCCGCTTAGCAGAACTTTTACTGTTTTTGGTAGAAGTGCTTCTCAACCCAAAATAGAAAACACTTTGAAATAATTTTTCGAATACATTCAAAAGCAATTTCTTAATTTTAAAAGCAGATTTTGACTTTCCGAAAGCCCTAAAAACAGACCCTAAGTAACAAATATCCAGCTATGCATAATGTAAAAAGGACAGCTGAAGACTTTAAGGATACGTTTGATTGCAAGCATATAATTTGCATGAAAAGAAAATAAATTGTATAGAATTCAATTGTCTAAAACTTATTTTTATGAAAATTAATTAAATGTGTTTAATTGATTTAATTTTCAACCTAAATAATATTATACTTGTCAATTTTTTATTGATGGGTAAACGAGAGTGGATAGATGGGTGAGAGAAAGAGATAGTTAATTACCTTAAAAAATAAAAATCACGTCTCTCTACAAAAATGTTTTCTTTATTTTTAAGAAAAATATGATCACGCGACCAAAAGTCGAAAAATCTTTTCATGGAAAAAATTGTCAATGAAACATCCCAAAAGCAAGAATCTAGGAGGAAAAAAAATGATATTTTCCATGAAAAAATAAAACGAATCAAAGACACTACAATACTAAACCAATATGACAATACAATCTGCACTCCCTCTTTTGTAATTGTAGGATACAAAACTCGAAAGAACAAAATTTCAACATATGTACCACAATACATTCCAAATGCATAAAATTACACCCCACAATTATTCATAAAGCAAAAATTTTGAGCATTACTCATCATTCATCCATTACGACACCTCTACCAACCTATCTATGATCGGCTATGGACAAACCTTTGTACCACAACCGGGGAAAGAAAAGTGCTATGAGCAATGGATGTCTTCTCAAACAGGAGAAGAAATCGTCTCTGCTGATCTTTCCATCGCCATCCACATCGAATAAACTATAAATCCCAGAGATCTGCAAATCTCAAATAGAGAAAGTTTGAGCAAGAAAGAACTAGAAAATTATAGAAATTACACACTGCTTATTTCACAATCGGAAGACAGTTGAGAGCTATAAAAATTATAATCCAAAGTGCCATTTTCCAAGTACTCAAAAATTATGACTTCTTTGATAATATCTTTTAAGTGCTGGTCTATGTGATCCAAAAACGATGCAATAGAACTTGATTGTATTTATAAAGAAAAAATAAAAAGAAGTAAAAATCATGTACAGATACTTCCTTCACCCACCTCATCTTCACTCATGTTTGGGACTGCGAGGGTAACTGCATCTCTTAACTGTCACAAAGCATTCAGAAATCATGAGACTACAGGTTAAACAATGATGAGGTTTCAAGAAAATACATGCATACCTCTTGCTTCAAAATGCAATTCTTCCAATCAATGTCACATTCAGTAAATGCTAGTTCACAAGCTTGTTTGAAGAGTGGCTGCTTCAAGATGTGGGCTGAGCCAAGAAGGAACTGAAACAACATACACAACATGTAGCGCAAGTACTGCGTGGTAAAACCTTAATCTCAAGGCATGAAAATTTATCCTAAAAACTGAAACAAAAACTCCCTTAATCTCAAATTTATCTAAAAAACTGAAACAAAAATCCAAGTATGAACTTCTTTTTGGTTACTTTTGCACATTTCCTAATAATGTACCAGACAAGAATTCAGGCGTATCTGAGAATAATACAACAGTGTGTGGCACATAATATCACCAGCATGCATAAAGTATGAACACAGAAGTACCAAGTTACCTGCTTAAACGTTATTTTACCCATCTTCTCCACATCAATGAATCCAAATATCTACAAAATGAGGGAATGAGGGTTAAGAAAATTAGTAGACGCAGTGTCATTAACGCAACCAGAAAACAAAGTTCATCGTCCAATGAATCTGCAAGCCTAGCCACTGAAAGGTAACTACTTCTATCACTGAAATAATATGATCTGTTTGTGTTACATGGTCAAAAATTTAATACTGATCCTCCAAGCCAAAGTCCTTCAAGGATAAATCTATACTAAGTCCTGAAAAAGTAAGTACTAAAATAAGAAAAAATATGGTCCTAGAAACATAAAAAGAACAAAAAAAAAATTGATATTCCAAGCCAAATTCTTGCATAACAGACCCAGTGACTAATGTATTGCATGGTGAGGAAATAGTGAGATTTATAACTGATATAATTTTTACCATTTCTAACATCACTGCATCCTTAACTGTTAACATTTATTTAAATTCCCAAAATGTATGTCGATAAGAAGAAAAAATAGAAAAGATGGAACACACTATTTTGTCAAAATAGAGGAAGGAAAGAATCCCTAACAAGGCACAGAAAACTAAGAATAATGTTCAGAGGCTTACCTTTTCTGTCAGAGAACAATGTTTCAATCTTAGAACCCTGAGAAAATCGTGAAATTCAACATGTCCACTGTGAAGAAAATGGACAGCCATCAGCAGCAAGTTTTTAAATTCTTCATTTACAAATAAGGTAAAAAATGAAGAGACTTTCTCTACGTTTGAATGGACAAATGATCAAGCATAGACATGAATTTTAGAAAAGCCCTTCTCACTTTCTTCATCCTAACAGGCATGGCTATAAAACTACCCATTATTACTACAGTAACAGCCTTTCAAAGAAATTTGGATGCTTTAAATTTTTCACATATGAATCACTTCTGAATATTATTTATTATATATTAACTAAGATATTTTATAAAAAATACTTCAAATAGTGTATTTTATTAGTCATAAATTTTCGTGTCAAAATAGTTTTATATAAAACAAAAATATAAAACAAGCCAAAATAGCTAATAATTTATTAACCAATATAGCAAACGTTTTGAAAATACGATGAAATCAGTATTAATGGTAAACCTATACATAGGGTTGGCCTAAAATATCATGGAAGATTGGAGGTTGGAAATTAAAAAGGATACAAGTTATCGTGGTTTAACATTGGAGAAGACCCTTGTTATCAACTGGAGAGGAAATAGAGGATCCTTGTTGGACAAGGCTCTGTTAGGTCAAGTTTTAAACAGTACAATATAACCAACATGTACAGACGATGAACAGAAACTCTTGGAGAATATATCCAACACAACTGAGCAGAAGCATGTACGTAAACTTTTTCCTACTGATAAAGCTAAAAATCTAATATATGCTGCCAGATTCAACACTGGAATGCCAGATTAGATGCCATATCATTGTCCTAAATCCTAATTGCTAGACATAAAGTGAAAAGGACAACAAAATAAATAATACAAATCATCAATATAAAATATGATATATGAAATGTTTAAATCAGAATCAACCATAAATCTTGCCCTCCTTAATGTTATGTAATAAAATTGAGTATATTAGGAGCATGTTTGAGCCTCATTTTTAACCCAAAATGCATTTTGGAATAATATTTGATAGAGAATGTGAGGTTAAAAAATAAAGAAAAATTTAGAATTTACATGTAATATTATTTTATTAAAGAATGTGTGGTTGAAAATCAGAAAAAAATATATTTTGGAAATAACGGGGATCAAACAAGGGCTAAAGCATCACATGATACCTGGGATCTGGATTCATTGACAGAAATGTCTCCAAAAAGTCGACGGCCTCCAAAGCTTTTATACGAAATGACTGAAAAGCAACAGGCGCAATCAGAGTCATAAAACCTCGAAGAAAATGGACTAAACCTATCACAAATATATATTGTATATTACAGAATAAAACAAAATAAGAGTTCATAAGCCTCGATGCAACTCCCATTTAATCTTTCAATCAAATTAAACAGGTGACAGCTCAAAGCATTTTCAGTCTGATATCATATAAAGAACGAATAAAGAAACTTTTTTTACATTCGCTGAACGTCATTGTCCAAAATACCATAATTATTACATTTCCTAACAAGTCCTACAGCAGATCAATATCTATAAAACCTGTCTTTACAAATAATTTCCAGAATATAAGTTTGCATTTGAATTACAGAAACAAAAGAACTAAAGTGATAATCGATTTCTTTACTTAATTTACCATCAACTATCCATCTAGAGTGAATCAAAGTCAGAATAATTTAGATGATAAGAAGAAAAAAAAAGTTAACAAGTGGACATCCAAAACATATTAATTAATAATTTGAATAACTATCAAATATGCAAACGTAATAATTTAATAAAATAATTGACGGCAAGTTTGACTTACTGATTCCACCCAGGCCATTTCAACCATAAATTGAGAGGGGTTTTCCTGACAAAACATACTGTTAATATTACATCAAGGCCAAACTCTTCAAATAACTCAAGTTCGAAGACAAAGATAGCAAAAGTGATTCTCTTAATAGATAGTAATGAAAGGAAAAAGAAAGCAAAAGTGATTCTTGTAATAGCTTCGAGTGATATGATATGAAAGCTAATGAAAATGAGGTCATGGGAAAACAATAAAAGCATCATTTTATTGGGCAAAATAGGGTTGCCGCTACAAAAGAATTTGTATTTTGAAAATTATTGTTAGCACTGTATTTTAAAAAAAAAAATCTGCGCTGCGCGGACACCAGGGGCAGATCCATGGTGTCCGCGGACATCACACTCCGCATTGTGCAGAGAGTTTTTTTTTTTACACTTCGCACAATGAGGATTTTTTTTTTTTTGTCCACGTTGTGTAGAGTTTTATTATTATTATTTGACTCTGCGCTGTTTGGAGTTTTTTTTTTTTTTTTTTATACAGTGGTAACAATAATCTACGATAAATACTCCGCGCTGTGCGGAGAATTTTTTTGTTTTTTTTTTCACACTCCGCACTATGAGTTTTTTTTTTTTTTTAACAATGATAACAATAATCTACGATAAACCCATAACAAAACAAAATCATTTTTATCTTGTACATTTTAAAAGTGTACAATACCTTTAAAAATAACTTTAATCAAATTTAAAAACACTTATTTGTAGCACTAATCAAGTAAACGGTGGATTGCCTCTGGAAAAAAGTTTCACAAATGAACAGTAAACCGTGGATTATCCAAGAAGCAAGAAGAAATTCAAAGTCATCAATTGTGGGTATAGGTATAAGGAAGTCCATATTACCCTTAAAACTTGGATGAACAGTAGAGAATCGATATGGATCAAATGGGATATTAAAAAAAAGCTTCACAAATGAACAGTAAACAGTAAATTGCCTCTTTTAAGATGGTAGGGATTAAACCCAATGCTCTCGATGTTACTAGTTAATGTTTTTCATCCTCCCAAATCTTCTTCCCTAGTACTTTTCTTTTCTTTTCTTTTACATCTTTTAGTTAATTTATTGTGTTAATTATCTTCATACTTAGGGGTAAGGTGGACAATATTCCTATGAACTAGGTGTCTTTTTTATAATAAATTATAAATTTCTTCGTACATTATATTCATACTAGGCCCCCCACACTTGAATCCTGGCTCCACCCCTGCGTCCATGATGTTAATTAATTTTGTCTTCATTTGTAACCAATCTAATAAAAGCATTTTGTGCACCTAATCTACCATGAAAACTGTAGAAACCTCTCTTTGCTTTACATTGATTAGTTCTTTTTTTTTTTTTTTGGTTAATTAAACTCAATGCTCTTGATGCTACTAGTTAATGCTTCTCATTCTCCCAAATCTTCTTCCCTGGTACTTTTCTTTTCTTTTACATCTTTTAGTTAATTTATTGTGTTAATTATCTTCATACTGAGGAGTAAGGAGCACAATGTTCCTATGAACTAGGTGTCTTTTTATATTAAATTATAATTTCCTCTTACTTATGGCCGAAGTTCCATTAACTTATATTCATAAAAGGCCCCCACACTTGAATCCTGGCTCCGCCCCTGCGTCCATGATATAGTACTTATGTTCGATCAATAACATTCTTCTTTTCTCATGAAAATACATTGAGCCACTGATGTTCACAAGGCACATGAGTAGATAAAGTGTCGGAAAAAAGGAAAAGGATAATTGGAACTGGCTCATAAAGTTCAAAATGCATAATATGCAAATGGGTTAACAGTGTTTTTTCTGCTTATGGACAGAGTATCAGGTAACTATGAGCCAAAAGAAGTAACAAGTCAAGTTAATAACATCTCTACAATGTTAATTAATAAAATAGTCAGATTACAACATCTATAAGCAGATACAAGGGTAATGTCACACGCTACTTCAATCTTATTTGCTAAATGGCATGATATAAAATTAAAAATTCCAAACCCGCATAGTTATAAACATACTTTCAATGTTCAAATTCCATTTAAGAAATATAATAACAACTTAGCTTAGCCTAACATCAGTAATTCAGCACATATTACCGGTGAGCGAATAACAGCAAACCTGATTCAACTCAGATGCCTTTGCAAAAAGCATGAAGTCTCCATAAGAATGGGATGTTTGTACCACATTGAGAGCACTTGCCATGACATGGCTAGTCTGCATTTGATAAATGGTGCATGTTGAGCAAAGATAGCAATGCAATTAAACAGATTCGTAAAGTAAGACGAAAAGATGATCTCACACAATATTTAAGCTTATCCACATGGAAAATGGAATACATATTAAAGAAAATGGTGCAATTTGTACAGTTATGCAAAGTTCTAATATTTCGGATAATGGTCACTGAAAGAAGTAATAGAGAGATCCACCTTGGCGTTGTATAAGAATGTGCTTAAGGAAGTCCAACAGGAAGAATAATTGCTCAAATGGTTGTAATAACCAGTCAATTCAAGTAGCAAGATCATGACGATGAGTTAATGAACAAGCCAGCTATTCCTAAATGGAAAATTAATGCAAACATTTGCACATCAATAAATAGAGCATCCTCAGTTGCATGGAATTTATAAAATACACCATTCATAAATTTCAGCAAAGCTTTAAGAAAGAAAATATATTAAAATAAAGTTCATCCGAACAAATGGCAGATAGCCAGATACTAGAAGATTGTCATGCACAGGCAGCTGAAAAGGACAAGTAGTTGTTGATATCTTCATCTGCTGTATCTAGTGTGAGAACAGCAGACAACACGTACATATAGCTGGACAAGTTTGGAATGTTGTCATATTAAGGCACTATGATATATAAGCACAAGGGAAAAAATAAAAATATCAGAAAATATATTAAAGAAGAGAATCTAATAAAAACTACTAGACTTGACTCACCATCTGAGCAAAATGGATAGCATTTTCCTTCCTATTTTCATGGGGAGACACGAGAGGAAGATATTCAACCTGTGCAACATAAGAATAATGTTATGTCATTACGTCGGATCAAAATGGCATTAGTTCTAAAAATATTATACTTAACAGGAAGGAAAAGCACATGAATGGATTGGGGCCTCAAAAAATGCACAATTAATTAAAGCCTAAGTTGCTCGGACTCGGGTACGAGTACGTATTTAAGTGTCGAATCTTTTATTTTTTTAAATGGAGGATACGGGGACATGACTAAAAATAGTCCAAATTTCGGACACGAGTACGTGAGTATGTCTTTGAAACTTCAATTAAATTATTTTTCTTTTTCAAAAACTTCATGTGTGAAATTAATCAAAAATATTATTTGATTATTCTATTTTGTCAAGTTTTGAAAAAATATTAAATTCAAAAAATGCTATTAAATTGTTATAAAAATTTATTTATGTTGATTTTATAATTACCCGTCAATCATTTTGGC